GGTCGCGTAAGTTTCCATTGTGTGTCGAGAAGTTCATTTCGTGCTGGGCTGAAGGCAGAGGATGCAGGATTGATGAATAGAGCCAGTTAGAGAGGCGCGAGGGCTGGGATAGGCCGCTCGGGATGGGCGTTTCTTGCCTCGGTGTCTGCTCCCTAGGAATTAAAGCTAAAAATAATTCGGCGACGATTCTCCACATTGAAAAGTTCAAAAGGAAGATTGGCCTTGTCTCTGAAAAGGGTCTCGGTGCCTTCCGTGCCTCCGAACGTGGAAGTCGAAGGGATGTGAAGATCATCCGTGTGACATTTCTTCCAGGAGTGAAAGGAAGAATTCGTTTGAATGTGTTTGAGGAGAAGGAGAAGTTTGGCGGCGTCACGTTCCCTTTAGCTTTTAAGAAGAGAGTTCCCTTTTTAAACACTCAGCGTACCGGAACAATCTGGAAAGTCGTTGGAGGCAAAAAGGGCTTTTACTTTCGCTCTCCGTCTCTCCCCCTCCTTACCTCTCTCCCTTTCCCTCCTTACCTCTCTCCCTTTATCCTTTCCTTCTCTCTTTCCCTCCTTACCTCTCCCTTTATCCTTTCCTTTCTTTCTTTTCCTCTCTCTTTCCCACCTTACCCATCTCCCTTTACTCCTTCCTTTCTTTCTCCCTTTCCCTCACTACCTACCTTTACCCTCCCACTCCCACCCCTCTCCTTCCTCGCCCCCCATTTTTCTTCCTCGAGATGACAGCGGCAAAGGAACGGGAGCGTCGTAAGTAATGTCCCGGCTGTTCCCACAAGAAGGCGACGACTTCGCTTTTCAAGGGCGCATTTCGAGACTTTTTCCGCCCATCTAGCGTCGCGTCTGTGCTCTTTAAGGCCCTCTCTTTATGCATTCATTAAGTAACCTCCGAGTTGGAGAGTTTGACCCTATAATTCTCTGCTTCCATTAGGCAAGAGGCCCTAAGGGACAGGGGTTCAAGGGTTAAGGATAGGCTGGGGTTGGGGGCAGGGAGGGAAGGGGGAGTGTGGTCAAGGAGAGGAGGAAAGAAGGCAGAGAGGGGAAGGAGAAGGCTTAGCGAGGAGAGAGAGGGGTAAGGAAGGCGTGTAGAAATAGGTAATAAGGAAAGGACATAATTCAGGTCTTGAACAAAGGGAGAATCACTGAACAAAGGGCGAACTTAACGGGGCTTGCAAAGTTGGCATGGAGGAGGAAGTGGCAACTCCGCCATTCGCCGACGGCCTGGATTCCGAGGTGGCCGTTTGAGACTTTTAGATACACCGAAAACGTTGGTCTGTATTGGGAGGATAAACGTTATCGGAAGCTTTGTTTGGAATTCAAATCGACAGCAATTTATGGTTGTATATGTTAACGTCATTTTCTTTCTTTCTGTCCTTACGGTTATTGGCATTTTCTTTACTTTTTTTCGATAGCGAGGTGATATTGCATTCACTGTTTTATGTTTGCATTCTTTCTTATTATCGTTCTACCAAAAAGCCCGTTATTGTCCTCGGAAAAGCTGCCCATTTTTATCCTTCGCACACGTTCACTGCCTTCCTGCTTTTCCTCCTTTCTTTTCATTCGACCTTTGCCAGTAGCATGTAAACGCCTTAATATCTATAGCTATAGAAACCGTAGCGTGAAGAAAAGGATGAAAGGAGCTGGAAAAGAAAACCACTAAGCGCGCGACGCCCGATTCAAACGAGGCCCAAACAGGCGGTAAAGAGGGACGATGACTTTGAGCTTCACTTGGGCGTTTCCTTTGTCAGTATTCCCGCAGTTTACCTCTCATGTTTACGGTTATTTCTTCAACGAGAAATCTTTCCTTTCTATTCATTCAACTGCTTCTAGATTTCTCGCCTCAATACCAGCAACGATTTGTATCACATTGTTTGGGAACAATATACTAACTAATGCATATATTTATCTAATACTTGTATGAACCATAATATTCATTCTCGCTTGCTATACGTTACTCGAGTTGCTGATATCCTTCACAAGCCTAATTTTTCGTCTCAACTTTTTTTTTTAATAAGCATTCTCCTGGATGTCTTACTCAGTCAAAAATCCCATCATAGAAAAAGGAGGAAATGGTTTTGCCGACATTTATTGAATGGTTTCTTAGTTAATAACAAAGACTATGTGCAATGTTATTCGTAGAACGTGATGGAAGATTATGGTTGAGTTGGTCTTGTCCCAGGTTTCAGTTGATCAAGTGCTGATAGTATATGCAGATTTAGGGTTCAGTTAAATGGCTTTGCAATTTATCCTAGAAATATTGGTTACTAGGAAAGAATTGTGGTAGATATATATTTTAAACTAGATTTTGGGAGAACATGCCTGTCTGAATCCTGCCTAATTATCATTGCTTTTGTTATTTTTCTTATCATTGTTGATATTATTATCTTTATTATCATTGTTGATATTATTATCTTTATTATCATTGTTATTATTATCTTTATTATCATTGTTATTATTATCTTTATTATCATTGTTGTTATTATTATTGTTTTATTGCCGTTGCTGTTAGTAGTATTACCATTATCACTGTTATCATTCTCATTATAATCATTATCATTAATAGGGTATGTGTGTATGTGCAGGTTTTCTTACGTGAGCTCAGTCTACCTTTAAAAGCGTGTCCGTGTGGACAAGGACCTCTGAGCGGTGTCAGATGGTCCACAGAAATTATTCATTGCAGAAGCCAGTAGGTCGTAAGTCCACCGGCACTACCGACCCCTTCTCCCTTGCGAAATTTGGATTTACTCTTTTTAGGTTAAGAAATTGGAACTCGAAAAATAAAAGGCAGCGTGTGTGTGTGTGTGTGTGTGTGTGTGTGTGTGTTTATGTGTGTGTTTATGTGTGTGTGTGTGTGTGTGTGTGTGTGTGTGTGTGTGTGTGTGTGTGTGTGTGTGTGTGTGTGTGTGTGTGTGTGTGTGTGTGTGTGTGATGCAGATAGACGTTGAGGCCATACTCTAGGCTGATAATGAATATGGTGATAAATATGATAATAATAATACAACTATTGCTACTACTGTGCATTAACTTTTACTGATAACGATCTGGAAACGTGGTGTTATTTAAACAAATAAACAAATAAAGGGGAATTAACATCATATCTACATTGCCAATTAAAATAATACAAGCATGAATTTAACCACAGTATAAACACGACCACATGTAGAAGTATTACAAGAAAGAAAAAAGAGTAAAACGGTACTTTTCGAAAGCCCCAAAGCAGCAACAAACAACAACAGTGGCCTCCCCGCGCACAAGCCAAAACGCTACTTTCGCGTCGGCCCAACAAGCTTCCCGCCAGCCGGAACTTCGAGACTTTTCGAGAATGTTCCAGACTTAGACTTCTGAGCCCCGAACAACTGTGAGCGAAGAAGTTTGTGGAACCTCTCTTCTCTATTTTGGAGGCAACTGTTTGTGGAAGTTGAAGACAGGCGATATGAGGAGAGTGCACGTGGACGTCTTGGGGTTTGAGTGTGTGTGAGTGTAGGAGGGCGCGCGCGCGTGCGTGTGTGTTTCAGAAAAGAAAAACTAGCAAAAAGGAATAAACAAATTATGAGAAGTATATGCGTGTATGGATATATATATATATATATATATATATATATATATATATATATATATATGTATGTATGTATATATATCCATACACGTACATAGACATGTACATACATACATACATACACATACATATGTGTGTATAAATCTTAAAAGCACAGGAAGCCTTAACAAAGACGGAGACGTGTACGCAGCACCAGCAAGACCCACTGGCGAAAAAATCTGAAGAACTTCGAATTTCTGTCGCTGGGGAAGATACGGCAGGTCTCGCTAAGGGACACACGCCCCGCATTCTACATTCAATGGCTGGTCTACTTTATATCCTTGCCCGATTTCTGTATGGTATATTTATATCTGTCACACACACACACACACACACACACACACACACACACACACACACACACACACACACACACACACACACACACACACACACACACACACACACACACATATATGTGTGTGTGTGTGTGTGTGTGTGTTTGTGTGTGTATGGGAAAGGGTGATTTGTAGCCAATTAATATGTTTTCAAGCAAGTGATCCTTCCATTAATCTTCATGATAACTGAGCACTGAGGCGAGAATTTAGGCAAAGGAGGAATGGAACGTAAAAAGAAAATCACAACGTCCATGGAACGAAATGACTGAACAATTAGATAAAATAAAGTTGAGAGTAGAAATCCCATTTTTGGAGCGGTCTTTTTGATTTTGGAAAAGTCCAGCATCACTCGTGCACTTTTTGAGCTGTTAATTACTCTTTCGCAGGGATTTGTGGAAGAAACGAGGGTACCCTATTAATCATATCTTATTAATATTATACCGTATTAGATCTTACTAGTTTCTTTCTCGTCCCTCTCCTCTTCAGTCCTGTCTATATTGGCCTTCGTCTTCATCAAAGCAAAACGAAAATACCTGTTTAACCCAGAAAACTCCTCGAAAATGTGCAATTTTCCATAAGCATTCAGACACAGCTAATTTCTTGCGTAAATCAGCGTTGTAATGATGGCCGTTGCTCTTTGCGAATGCCTTGCATAAGGCGAATCGAACGCAGCCACACACGCACGCGCACATAACCCCGTTTTAGTTCGACGACAGCTGGGTCTAGATGCGTCACTGCCAACACGTAACATGACTGGAAATAAGGGTGAACGCTGACAATCTGACACTAACGCTGAATCCGAGTGTTGTTCCATTGGCCTTGGGGGATTTCGTAAGAACGTGTGTCAAACGTTTGTCACGTTTCTT